GTGGTGGATTGTCAGAACTTAATAACATTAGTGTCACTAAAGTTGGTATATACAACCCCCCACTGTTAAATTTGACTGGCTTTTTAAAACAAAAACAAAAAAACTTTGGTCCCATACCCAAGATATCTCATTATGTATATGCAAATATTCTTTTTTTTTTGTTGTTTGTTTGTTTTGAGACAGGGTCTTGCTCCGTCATCCAGGCTGGAGTGCAGTGGCGTGGTCATTGCTCATTGCAGCCTTGCATTTCTGGCCCGAGGCGATCCTCCTGCCTCAGCTTCGCGAGTAGTTGGGGCTAAAGGTGCATGCTACCACACCTGGCTAATTTTTTAAAAAAATTTTTGTAGAGACAGAGTTTCTCTGTGTTGCCCAGGCTAATCTCAAACTCCTGGCCTTAAGCAGTCTTTCTGCCTAAGCTTCCCAAAGTGCTGGGATTACAAGTGTGAGCCACTGCGCCTGTCCTGTATATGCAGATGTTCTAAAATCTGAAAAAATCTGAAACATTTTTGGTTCCAAGTGTTTTGGATAAGGGATACTCAACCTGTATTAAAATTATTTTATCTAAAACATATTACTCTTTCTGTCTTTATAATAAAGAGGACATGATGTGGTCAACATAATGTTTGTCAAATTACACCTTGTGTTTTCTTTCTTTCTTTTTTTTTTTTTTAAAAAACCGCTTATTTAGGATTGGCAGCCTCCGTTTGCGTGTGAAGTGAAAAGTTTTCGTTTCACTCCTAGAGTCCAGCGCCTGAATGAACTTGAGGTGAGTGTTATGACCGTTTCTGCCTCCTGATTCATTCTTTATGTTAGGCAGAGAACTTTGAGAAGCTTGTGTACCAGGGCCTCGCGTTTGCATTAATTGTACCGAATGGAATGTTACTTGATGTTTGGATAAGTGTCTCATTTTTGAAGAATTGTTTAAAGTAGTTATTGTGGTTTTTCCACTAAACTGAAATTATGGGAAACTCTCTCTAGCCATGTTTTCATAGTAGGAATGTCCAGTGTTTAGTTTCAGAGACCTGGAATTCTTAAATCCCAGTTTCTTCAGCGTTATTCTACTAAAATTTTTTCATTAATCTCAGTAGATTTCTGTTTCCTCTCGTTCTTGGAAAATAGGTTTTTAAATTCTATTCCTGGCTGAATATGATAGGGAGGGAAAAAATTCTATTAAAAAACCTAGTTTTCAGAGATTTTTCTCTTGGTTTTAACAGAACTTTTCTAGGATTGTTAATCTGATTTATTAAGATCTCCCTTTACATATTAGTAATTTCGCTTAAATTTTCTAAGGTGAAATCTCTTTAAATATTTTTTTTTTCTGTTTGCCAGATTTTCAGAAGGTTCTTCAGTGTGGTATGAAATCTATTTTAGAGTACAAAAGGAAAATCTTTTTTTTTTTTTTTTTGAGACAGAGTCTCACTGTGTTGCCCAGGCTAGAGTGCCGTAGTGTCAGCCTAGCTCATAGCAACCTCAAACTCCTGGGCTCAAGCGATCCTCCTGCCTCAGCCACCTGGGTAGCTGGGACTACAGGCATGCGCCACCATGCCTGGCTAATTTTTTCTATATATTTTTAGTTGTCCGATTACTTCCTTTCTATTTTTAGTAGAGACGGAGTCTCGCTCTTGCTCAGGCTGGTCTCGAACTCCTGAGCTCAAACAATCTGCCCGCCTTGGCCTCCCAGAGTGCTAGGATTACAAGCATGAGCCACCGTGCCCGGCCCAAAAGGAAAATCTTTGACAGCTAAGGTTTATTATGTCATGCTGACTTTCCTCCCCAGATGCTCCTAAAACATTTATTTTCTGAGATTTTGGCACATATTTTTTCCTTTAGTTTCTTGTAATTAGATACTTGTTGAAGCATGTTAATATTATTGAGGTAGAGAGTTGATGCACCTAAGTGTACGTATTACCTAAATGACAATTAGAATATTTAGAGACCAAGAATAATATGAATCACTAAATTTTCTGGTTAACATAAAGTTAAATCGGTTTTTTAAAAAAATTGTTTTGGTTGCTAATTTGTTTTTAAAATTTTTTTTTTTTAAGAGACAAGATCTCATTGTGTCACCCAGGCTGGAGTGCAGTGGGTTATCATAGTTCACTGCAGCCTCGAACTCCTGGGCTCAAGCTATCTTTTCCTCTTCACCTCCTGAGTAGCTGGGGCCACAGACACACGCTACTGCACCCGGCTAATATTTTTCATTTTTTTTAAAGACTGAGTCTTGCTGTATTTCCCAGGCTGGTCTCAAACTCCTGGCCTCAAGTGATCCCCCCACCTCATCGTCCTGAGTAGCTGGGATTATAGGTGGGAGCCACTGTGCCTGGTTTCTTGGTTGCTAATATGAGAACTTTTTGTGTAAATTGGAGTAACTTTTTGGCATCAATGAATAATGTTTATTAGAAGTATTTTGCCTCTTTATTATTGGATAATTTTGTGGGGTTGGGCTAAGCAATAATCAAAGGTCTTTGAATTTTTATAGAGAAGTGAGTACTTATTGTGTAAGATTCATTCATTGCAGCTATAACTTAGTTCTGATTTCTGTATTTTAATAATCTTAGGCAATGACCAGAGTTAGACTGGATTTCTTGGATCAACTAGCAAAATTTTGGGAACTTCAAGGATCTACTTTGAAGATCCCTGTGGTGGAGAGAAAAATCCTGGATCTGTACGCTTTGAGCAAGGTGAGGCTTGTATTTGGTTTAGAAGTTGGAGCAGAGGCTTGTGAATTTATGAAATTAAGAATTTCAAATAAACTTGCTGGGAAACATTGCTTGTGATGAAAGTTTTTTTTTTTTTTTCATCTGGAGATTTGGTCTTGCTCTGTCGCCCTGGCTAGAGTGCCGTGGTGTCATTGTAGCTCACTGCAGCCTTCAACTCCTGGACTCAAGCTATCCTCTGGCCTCAGCCTCCCAAGTAGTTGTGATTACAGGTGCGCGCTACAACGCCCAGCTAATTTTCTCTATTTTTAGTAGAGACAGGGGTCTCACTCTTGCTCAGGCTGGTCTCAAACTCCTGGCCTCAAGCAGTCCTCCCGCCTTTGCCTCCCAAAGTGCTGGGATTACAGGTGTGAGCCGCGGCATCCAGCCTTTTGTGATATATTTTAAAATTAGTGTCAGGTCAGAATTCTCTTACTAAAAATTCTGGGAACTGTGGTCTTATGCTGAAACACAGCTGGAGGCTTTTTTTACTCAGGTAATAATGTCAATAATTAAGCAACTATGCCAAGAATTGTCTAGTACAGTTGTATGAAAACCCATAATACCAAAGAAAAATTATACTAAATTTAAGGGGTGGGTTTCTATCTTTGTAGGGAATCATTAGGATTAAAATTTATTTTATCATTAATAACAGTATTGTTGTAATCTTCAACTAAAGCTTATTCCACATTTTTATCTCATTTATTTTTTTAATTATTTAAGAATATTATAGCGGTATCTCTTTTATTTTTATAAATACCCTATGGGATTTGCTCAAATAAGTATTTAATATAAGTAGTTAATCTATTAAATTGAAACTTTCCATATCAGTGATTTTCCATTTAAAAGGTAAATTTAGGTTTAATCTGATGGTAAGTTAAATTGCGTTTCTGGTTTTCTAAAGTCAGAATTTGAGAATTAGAAAGGGGCTTTTAGGTCACCTAACCTGAATACTTAGTTGTTCACAATTCTTATAATATTTGTTATCCAGACTGTTTATCTCCATCTTGGGAAACCCAATTCCTTTTTGTTAAAAGTGTCATACTACTAATAAAGTATACCTTGTTTAAGTACTTAGAGAACTTATTGAAAATATGTCGCGACTGAAGGTTGTCTGTTTGAGGGTTTACTGGAGTCTCTTGTGTGTTTTTGCAAGTGCCCATGGACGTCTCTTCCCCTAACATGAGAGAATGCTT